AAGGGGTAGTGCCAGTTAGATGCATCAGTTTGGTTTTCCTTGTCCCTTTTTCTCGTTTTTATGATTAATGGTGTGGAACATCCCACAGAAACCTCATCCAGCAGCATGCACTGCTGTAAATAGAGACTGAATGCATCACAACCGTTGATTTCGGAGCAGGTTTAATACCGGCTGTCTTGGTACATCATCGTGTATGATGTGCACATGCCAGGTTACTGAAAACTGTAAAACCTCTCACTTCCATAAAGTGCATTCAAAAGATACTGCATGGATCTTTCATTTGGTTGTGAATAGACTACCGGTGTAAAATGCTTTTGCTCTGCATTTCAAAAACCGTATGGAAGGAAATGGCTTTGTATTAAACACAAACAGAGCTGCCGCTAGAGGTCCTTTGAGGGCTAAATCCATTGATAGGAAAGATGCAGTCAGATGTCATTCAGACTAGAAGGGTGGGGCGAGGGAGTGGGTAGGGGCGCTGAACAATTCTCCTTCTGTTCAGTGTCAGTGGTTAATGTGTGAGAATTATAGATGAAGTGTATGCAGATTGCTGGGAGGTTTAACAGTTGTTGAAGTGCCGTTTCATTACCTTCGCCTGCATCAAATACATCAGACTGTAAAAATGACAGACAAAATGATTTGTTTTATTGTCACTAATTAAGTAGGTGATGGTATCGTGATGCAAACAGCGTAGGTGAGAGCACTCGAGGCAGCTTCTGTAACAGCTTGCCTTACTGTGAAAATCCCTTGGCTTCTATAATCTTATCACCCACATCACCGGGAATAGTAAATTGTTAGGTAATATTAGCTTGTGCAGTCATATTTCTTCAGGCCTAGTGATACAGAGGCCTAAATTAACAGTCCAGAGAGACAAATTCAAGTGTCACCAATTTTTAGTTCATCAGTAAAACCTGGAATAAAAAGCTTGTAACACTAATGGTGACTTTGAAACTACAAGACTATGATTAACAACCTATTTGGTTCCCTAGCATCTTTCAGTACAGAAAATCTGCTGTCCTTACCCAGACTGATCTATAGGTGACTCCAGACCCATACTCTTAACTGCCTTCTGAAATCATAGAATCGCACAATTGTTGTAATAGGGAAGGAGGCCATTTGGCCCATCATGCCATTCTCCTGTCTTTTCCTTGTAACCCTACACATTGTTCCTTTTCAGATAACAGTCCAATTCCCTTCTGAAAGTTTGAGCCTGCCTCCAACACTAATTTGCAAAACATGATGGACCTTAACTATTCTGTGAAAAGGATTTTTTTTTCTCAAGTCACTTTTGCTTTTTATCAGTTGCTTTCAATTCATGTTGTCTTATTTGCAATTCCTTCATGAGTGGAAACAGTTTCTCTCTATCAGTTGTCTGGACTGTCTTATTTTCAATGCCTTTGTCAAACCTCCTCTCAGCACTTTTTTCTCTGAGGAAAGCAATCCTAATGTTACCAGTGTGTCTTCATCACTGAAGTTCCTCATCCATGGAACCATTTTGGTGACTCTCTTCTGCACTCCCTGCAATGCCTTCACATTCACACGATATAGATGAGGCAAATATCAGGCAAATTCATTTCTGAAATCCCCAAAACACCCAGGAAAATTCAGTCATATGGTGGCCAATCTGGGGAAAGTTGCCTCCCTAGGTAGAATACTGAGAATCTTTGAGAAGCTGTTGTGGACTGGTTCAGTCTTGGATTTACTGCTAAGAGGTTCACTAGTGAGACTATTCGCAGTAAACATGGGAGAGAAACAGACAGTGATTTGAAGGAGCAACAAGCGAGTAAGTATCAATGATAAGAAAGTGAAGAGCTGGAGTTGGGCAAGACTTTTGCAGGGGGTATGGGGAGATGCAGCATGAGTAATCTGCGCTAGCAGAATGAAGGAGACTTGGCTGTAATGAGATTGAGAGTCTTACCTGTACAAAGACCAGTAGCAATGTGACCTCATGAGTGCGGTGAAAACATCTGATTGGTGAGTGCGTTTGGTCAGTACTTCCAATCTTTAAGGTGAATGTTGGGTATTTACTTTGTGTTTCAGTCTCTTGACTTTTCTTTTTCCTAGAAATAACCTGTTAGGTTTTCGTAGGAAGCCCATACTTGTCCTAAGAATAACAGTTTTTAGAGTTATGGAGTGGCAGGTCAGAAGGGCCAAGTGGCGTGTACATCATGCAGTATATATATGAAGTCATGGACATGTCCCAGACAAACACACCTGTGGCTGCGCAAGCTTGAGCTCCTGGTTTCAGAACGTGAGCATCGCCTGGAGTCACTGTTATACATCCGTGAGGCAAAGGACTATGTGGATAGACGTGTCCCGGGCAGAGGGAGGATGGGAGTGTCCCAAGCAGGTAGCGCACGTGTCCCCTGAGTATATTGTGCTTGCTAATCAGTATTCCATGTTGGAAACTGGTGAGAGTGATAGTTCCTCGGGCAAATGCAGCCAGAGCCAAGCCTGTAGCCCCGCAGGCACTTCAGCTGTACAGGTGAGGAGGAAGAAGAATGCAAGAGCAATAATTATTAGGATTACGTAGTCAGGGATCAGACAGGCACTTCTGTGGCAGTAAACGTAAACGTGACTCGAGGATAGTGCCAGGGTCAAGGATGTTTTTCTGAAGGGGGAGAGAAATCAGTCAGAAGTCATGGTCTACATTAGTACCAATGACTTGTATGGAAACTAGGGTGAAGTCCTGAAGGCAGATTTCAGTGAATTACGAAGGAAATTAAAAGGTAGGCCTTAAGATCGCTCCCAGTGGGACATGCTAGTGAGCTTAAGAACAAGAGGATTGATCAAATGAATACATAGCTAGAGAACTATTGTAGGATGGAGGGCATCAAATTTCTAGGCGATTGGAACTAGTTCTGGGATAGGTGGAACCTATACAAGATGCACCTTAATTGGATTGAGACCGATACTCATGCTGGGAGATTTGCTATAGCTGTACAAGTGAGATAAAACTAGCACATCAGGGAGATGGGAACCTGAAGGGGTAACTTGGAAGGAAGTAAAATTGGTAACAGGAAGTTGAGACAATGCTAGGATGACTAGAAGACAAGAAAAACAAAGCTGAGCATTGAGTATGCTTTGAAAACAGAATGGTGTCAGAAAGACAAAGTTAAGGGCGCTCTACCTGAATGTGTGCAGCTTTTGCAACAGGGTCGTTAATCTAAAGGCACAAATAGGACTAGATAGGAATAATTTAATTGTCATTACAGAAACATGGCTGCATCATGACCAGGATTGGGAACCAAATATTCGAGGATATTCAATATTTAGGAAGGGCGGACAAGAAGGAAAAGGAATTGGTGTTGTACTGATAATAGGGATAGGGTCAGTAAATTAGTTAGGAAGGATCTCCAATCGGGAAAAATGATGTGTGGAATCTGTTTGGGTAGAGCTAATAAACAGCAAAGAGCAGCAGATATTAGTTGGAGTTTTTTCCTAGGCCACCAAATAGTTTTGTTTTTTGTTCAATCACAGGATGAAGGTGCCACTGGTTAGGCCAACATTTATTGCCCATCCCTAATTGCCCAGAGAGCAGTGAAAAGTCAATTACATCACTGTGGGTCTGGAGTCACATGTAGGCCAGACCAGGTCCCTCCCTAGAGGACATTAGTGAACCAAAAGGTTTTCTTAACAATTGGCAACAATTTGATGGCATCGTTGGACTCCTAATTCTGGATATCTGTTGAGCTCAAATTCCACCCTCTGCCATGGTAGGATTCAAACCTAGGTCTCCAGAACATTTACCAGGTCTCTAGATTAACAGTCTAGTGATGATACCACCAGGCCATCACCTCGCCTAAAATAGTTGGGCATAGTATTACTGCAGAGATGGGAGAAGCATGTAAATGGGCAACACCGTTATCATGGTTGACTTTTGTCTGTATATTGACTGAGTAAACCAATTCAGCCACTAAAGTTGTGGAAGAAGAGTTTCTGGAGTGTGTTAGGGATGGTTTTCATGAGCAGTATGTTGAGCTAACTAGAGGATATGTTATTTTGTATCTGGTATTATGTAATAGGAAAAGGCGAATTAGCAATCTTGTTTTAGAAGAATCCTTTGGGATGAGTGAGCTTAATTTGATAGAATTTTGTATTTACATTAAAAGTGAGTGGGCTGAATCTGAACAAGGGAAATTATGAAGACATGAGGCACAAATTAACCAAGCTGAATGGGAAAATATATTAAACCTCAGGAACTTGGTCTATCATCAAAAACCACTCTATACAAACCTGGGAACATACCAATGGTTTCTCCCTGTTTTCCATCCATTAATGAATTGAACAAAGGCAGAATTGGAAAAGTTAAGCAACTACATGTATCTGGGTATCCAAATGGTTGATTGGCTAAACTGGAGAGAATAAGTTGGTGGCCAAACATGGCCTTACTATTGCAGAAAACTAACAACTTTTTGAGTTGATCATTCAGTCACAATTCTTTCATATGGCTGCAGTTGAGAGTGCTTTTGTGTTTGGAAACTTTGCCTGGTATGGCAGAGTTTTTAAAAGGTGCAGAGAGCATTAAACCAGCCAAGAAGACTATTTGACTAAATGATCTTTGCTGATTCTATCTGCTCTCAAAGAATTTTGGTGAAAGTAAAGAGTGTCATGATCAAGGAAGATCAAGTCTCAATATTACTGCTGGATGTGTTTAAGGAGAAGACTACAGTCTCTCAGATGCACAACTGACTGGTTCCAGAACTTATTTACAACCTTGTACATAAGAAATTTTAACAGAAGCTCTCTTACCAATGAGGAACTGCACTCAAGGTGAACTCGTTGATTATTCTAATTACACTGGAATAGTCTAAATGCATATTTTTATTAAAGTTTGATTTCTGTGGTTGAGTAAATATTTACTCTTGTTATTTACTTCTCTTTTTTTAAACAAACAGCAATGTATTGTATTGTAATAAATTTCTGTATGGAATGTTCTGAATGGACAATAAAATCGCTGGCTCTGTTGATTTCTGAAGAGTAACATTCATTTGTGATTCCAGGTGATCTTGAAAGACTTGGAGGTGTTGGCAGAAATTGCTTCCTGTCCAGCGGGTCAGACAGAAGGACAAGATTCATGTGAGAGCAACAGCACCCAAAACAGCCAGTCAGAGCTGAACATTCCCATTTCTGCCTCCACGCCATTGAACTCTTGCAGTGAGTACCAAGTTAGGCATTATCTACACTGCTAAACCATTTGAATCAGCTCAAATTTAACTGGAACTAAAACAGAAGTAGCTGGAAACGCTCAGCAGGTCTGGCAGCATCTGTGAAGGAAAAGAAAAATCAGTTAACGTTTTGAGTCCGGTGACCTTTCCTCAGAACTTGGTTCGGGTCACTGGACCCAAACATTAACTCTGATTTTTTTTCTTCGCAGATGCTGCCATACCTGCTGAGCTTTTCCAGCAACTTCTGCTTTTGTTCCTGATTTACAACATCCGCAGTTGTTTCACTTTTTATTCAGAAATTTAACTACCCATCAAGGTAAGATAGCAATGGGAATGCTAAACTGTTAGTATGACACTTTGTTTTGGGCATTTCTAATATCAAGATTCATTTATCTTTGCAGTCTTTCAAATAATGGAAACTTACATTTATATCGCACCTTTAATTTAGTAAAACATCTAAAATGTTTCACAGGACAGCTGTCAGGACAATATTTGACAGTGAGTAACGTGAGGCTCTGTTAGACAGATGCCCAAAAGCCTGATATTTTTGTGGATGATGGAGGTGGGGAGTTTCAGTGAGGGGATTCCAGAGCTTTAGGCCTTAGGCAGCTGAAAGACCATCAAGGCCAATCATTCAGCCACCACTCGGGCAAATACCAGTGCAGAGAGAGGATTGAAACATGGCTAAAATCTGTAGAGCTGCAAGGATTAGGGCAAAGACTGGGTGAGGAGAAGTAATTAGATATCTTTTGCAAAGAAGTGGCAGAGCTACAAAAGGTTGAATGGCCTCCCCTGTGCTGCGTTATTCTCCATATGAGCTAAAGAGGAGAAAACTGCAAAACCACTGAATTTGCCATCTCACAAAGGAGATAAATTGTGCTTTCATATATTTCAGACCGAATGAGTTTCTGAATTTGAATCATAAAATTAGCTCTAGCTTCAATCTGTGGAATGTCTATTCTACAATATAAAGAGCCACACTCATAAATATGAATTTTCTCCGCCCCTTTAAGCTGCTAGTCATGACTAGGAGTGGAAAGTCTTCACCCTGGCTGTTAGATTGAGGGTTCATCATGTGTGGCCACTTAATTACACTGGATGAGTGCATGTGAGACTGAAATTTTAGGTCTATCATCAAACAGCAGAGAGGTACCAACTAGAAGCCAAGCCCTATCTGACCAATTAATTGAATAACATAATCTCCATATATGGTTGACCTGAATAGTAGTGGAAGCAACAATGGAAGTGACCTCCATGCTCACTTGCCTGGAAACGGCATATGCCATATCATTAAATGAAACACGTCTGAAACCTGGATCTCTGACACCCCGAATCATAATACAAGGGCTGACAGAACTCGATTGTATTCCTTGTGTCTAGAAAATTAAAGGATGATCTAGTTAAGATGAAGATGTTTCTTTTAATGTTTAAGATAATTAAAGGAACTGACAGGATTGATGGTGAGAAACTTTCCTCTCGAGCAAGGAAGCATCATTTTTGACTTGAAGAATGTTATCAGGATCCACTCATTTGTGCAAAGTGCTGTGGTAGTCTATTAACTGTCTCCCTTCCTCACCACCACCCCCGCCCCCCCGCCCCCCCCCAAAAAAAAACCCGAGTGAGGCAGTGGGTCTATTGAAAGATTCAACATTGAGATTTATAGATTTTGTTAGATTAAGTTGATAATGATTAAATAATTAGAGGACAGATGGAGTTTGGATACAGATCAGCTGTAACCATATTGAAAAACAAAAGGATCAAAGTTCTGTATGACTGCCTCCAGCTCCAATGTTCTTTTTTGCTCATTAAGTTCAAAATTGATGCTCTGCTCCTTCACTTCCCATTCCCTCTGGTCATACTTGGCTTCAGAGGGATGTTCATATTTACCTAAGATACTTCAGCCTCAACTGACTGTAATTGCCATAGTCTTCCTGGGTGATTACTCCTCGTCTTTCACTCTGACCATATTAGGTCGGGATATTACTGGAGGATATAAAAATGAAAATATGGTTCGGGAATTGACTCTTGGCACTTTTTAATCTTCAGTCCACCAAGTGCTTCCTCAGCACACTTTGCATCTGTACTCAAACCACTGACCGAGTCAGGATTTATCCAGAGTGACTTGTTTGCCCAGGGGATTTCTAATTGGAATGTTTTTGCTGAGCACTTTCTGCTTCAGTTGTCATTTCTCTTTGCTCTTTATGTTTCTGTGTTGATTAAGCCTGTGAGGCAGGACCCCTTTTATTGGCAGTGAGCAATATAAAATTACATTGTGAGATTTGAAAATGAACAGGCAGCACTGGGCAGCTGGACTGTTTTTCCTGAAACTCTTAATTTATCTCCTTTGCCTTTTCTGAAGGTGCTGACACGCAGGCATGAAGGTGTCATTTTTAGTTGATTGCCCGAGTGAATGTTCCGGGGGCAAGCTTACAGAATGAATGTTGAGGACATTTGAGTTGAACCCAATTCTTTATTTCCCAGACACCCATTACAAGAGCATATGTCCTGCCAGCTTCGTCACCTCAATCCCTTCACTAGTACGTAGAGACTGAATGGTTAAAAAGGCATATAGCACACTCCCCTTCATTGCTCAGTCCTTTGAGTGTAAGAGTTAGAAAGTTATGTTAAAGTTGTACAGAACACTGATGAGGCCTCTTCTGGAGAACAGTGTCCAGTTCTGTTTGCCCTGTTATAGGAAGGATATTATTAAGCCAGAGAGGGTTCAGAAGAGATTTATCAGGATGTGAACGGGAAAGGTTTGAGTTATGAAGAAAGGCTGGATAGGCTGGGACTTTTTTCACTGGTGCATAAGAGATTGAGAGGTGACCTTATACATTTTATCGTAGGGAGGGTATCGAGAGTTAATGGTAAGTCTTTTCCCTAGGATGGGGGATTTTAAAGACTAGGGGCCACATTTTTAAGGTAAGAAGAGAGAGGTTTTAAAAAGGACATGAGGGGCAAATTTTTTACACCGGGCAGTTCATGTGTGGAATGAACTTCCAGATGAAGTGGTGGGTGTGGGTACAGTTGCAGTGTTTAAAAGATTAAGTGTATGAATAAGAAATGTTTGGATGGATTTGGGCCAAACGCAGGCAAGTGGGACCAGTTCAGTTTGGGATTATGTTCGGCATGGATTGGTTGGACCATAGGGTCTGTATTTGTGCTGTGTGACTCTGACTGTACAATTTGACCATGACTCTACACTAACTTGTGCATGATAGGGAACTAGAGTTGCTGTGCAATTCAGAGGGAATGTTGCTTCTGACCCCATGTCTTCTCCATACAAGACCACATTGTAACTTGTAATAGCGTTTGCCTCCATTTCTAATTTGGTCAGTTTGCTGTTGAAAGTTTCATCTTTGTTTTTGTCACCTTTAAATTTGACTTTCTCGCTGTTTTTGTTTTGTCTGACTTCCATCTTAAGCCCTGTATAAACATTAACTGATTCAAAAGAGCTGCTGTCTGCATCCTAACTCCCAGCAAGTCTTGCTCTCCTGTGACTGCTGACAAATATTTGCCCCCAGTCCAGTAACACTTGATTTGAGATTATCAGTATTCATGTTCAAATCACTCCTCAGCTTCAGCCTCCCCTCACCATGACTGCTCCAACCCCAAAACCCTCCTCAATATGTGTACTTCCAACTCAGACCTTGTTTGCTTTTTTTTCCATTTTGTTCATCCCATTACTGCCAGGCAGCATTCAACCATCTAGGCTGAATCTCCAGAATTTCCTCTTTTAAACTCTCTGCATCCTTATGTTTTACTTCTTTGTCCAAGCTTTCTTTTACCTGTCTTATTGTCCTTTGACTTGATGTCAGTTTGTCCAAAAATAACATTGTGAACTGCCCGCAAATGTTTTATTGCATTGAAGGCATAATCTAAATGCAACTATGTCATAACCCACAGCAATTCTTCCACCCCACCTCATCCACACCACTACTTTGACTTTTATTTGTATTTTTGAGAATGTTTCTGATATTTATTTCAACAATGGTACCACCAGTCTCGTATTAGTTTTCCTGACCCCTCTATTACTCTTTCACTACCTATATGGCTGTAAAAGATTTTTGGACTCCTGCTTGGTTTATTCCCAGTCTCCTTTCTTTGCCTCATTTTATCTTTCTTTTTCAATGTTGAACTTCGTATGTTCACCATCTTGAAAATGTGTTTCCGTTCTGTCAGTATCGCTAGGTCAAAATCCTGGAATGCCCTTCCTAACAGCATTGTGGGTGTCCTTTCAGACCAAGGAGCACGTAAGATCAAGAAGGCAGCTGGCCATCACCTTCTTGATGGTAATTAGGGATGGATAATAAATGTTGGCCTAGCCAGTGACATCCACATCCCATGAAAAATGATTTTTTTTAAAATTGGCCTGGGCCCCTAATTTGCCTTAGCAACCTGACATCTGTCATACACTCCTCTCTGCTTCGTTTGATTCTCCATCTCTGTGTAATCACTTCCATTTGTTCAAACAGTGCAGAACAAATAGGAGTGCTGGCTGCAGATTTGTGCTGGAGTACGATTCGTCTTAACATGAATAGGAATAGGATCGTTCCCACTTGATTGCCATGGAAACCAGTGAGATGCTGTAACTGTAAATGCATCCTGCAATCGTCCTGTTTGATAAGAATGTTCCATTTTGTGACTTGCTATGTAATGCAATGTGCTTGATCTCGCTCTAATTTCCCTTTTTTGTTGCTTGTGCATTCCCATGAACAAAGGCAGCTATTGGTGCTAATATGAGATGTTAGATGATAAGCTTTTCTTAAAGCTTACTTCATTTTTAATACTTAAAAATTTAGCATTTCAGAATTTGTTGATATATTTGAGGAAAATACTTAATTCTTGTTGGATTTATGATCTTATACTGATTGTTAATTAAAAAGAAAGACGTACCTTATGTTGCACCTTTTCATCACCCGCAACTTATCTTGAAGTGCTTTCCAGCCTATTGAGTGCTTTCTGAAGTGTAGTCACTGTTGTAGGAAA